ACGGCTAGCTAGCTGGGACCAGAAAGCTGTGGCTAGCTAGCTACGGCTAGCTAGCTGGGACCAGAAAGCTGTGGCTAGCTAGCTGTGGATAATGCAATTAAATGCAAAATGAATTTATTTGCAGCTTCGAAATTTCCAACTTCGGACTTTCTTCTTTTCTTGCAAATGCATGCGCTTTGCAAGAAATAAGAAGTCCATAAATGCCTTTGTTGGTTTAAAAATAATAGAAGATGAAATAATAAATAATTAAATTTAAATAATGAAATAATAAATAATTAAATTAAATAATTCTTTTATTTATTTGCAAATGTTAAATGAGGGAAACAAACAAAGTCCGCGAAATGTGCAAGAAGACATTTTGAATCTGAAAAGCAATTAATGGACAATTTGCATGCACAGGAAAAGAAAAACAAAAGATTTATATAATTGAAAGAAATATAAATTAAATAAATTATTTATTTCTTTCAATTTCATAAACATTTTACTTTCCCTTTTCCCTGCATGCATGCAGCCAATGCAGCCGATCTGGCGGCGCTGCAGCAGCAGCAGCAGCAGCAGCAGCAATTGGTGCGGCGGCGGCAGCAGCAGCAGCAGTACTTGGTACTGCAGCAGCTGCAGCAGCAGCAGCAGCAGCAGCAGCAGGGTCTGTTGCCTCCTGATAAGAGGTTCTTTCTGGCAGGCTAATTCAAATAAAAGTAATTAGGAAATAAATAAAATAAATATTTATTTTTAAACTACATTAATCCACTTCTGCTGCCTCCTAAAAGAATCTCTCTAACAGATTAAATATAATAAAATTGCTGCAAAGGCTTTTGCTGCTTGCGTCGGCAAGCAGCAGCAAGAAGCCATCCCTCAAGCCTAAACAGTGGTTCTGCTGCTCCCGCAGAAGCAGCAGCAGCAGCACAAGCTGCTGCTGCTGCTGCTGCTGCTGGCCACACCGCAGCAGCAGCAGCTCCGCAGCAGCAAAACTGTCACTGCTACTAAGAAATCTCACATCAAGAGAACTCTTGCGTGGCAAACAGCTGCAGCAACTGCTGCCCTGCGGCAGCAGCAGCGACACTGCTGCTGCTGCTGCTGCTGCTGCTGCTGCTGCTGCTTTCTCCTCTGTCGCTACTGCAGCAGCTGCAGCAAAAGCCACAGAAGCAGAAGCAGACGCAAGCATTCCTGAGTGTTAAGTGCCCGCCGTTGCACACAACGGCGCTGCTGATTGCTGCTGCTGCTGCTGCTGCTGCTGCTGTTCCTGCTGCTGCTGCTGCTACAAACCCCAGATGTGACTACAGCCTCAAGCTGCGCCTTCTGCTGCAAGGCCGCCCTCATCACTGTTCACAAGCGCCCGCTGCTCCTGGTGCTGCTGCTGCAGCTGCTGCTGCAACTGTTGCTGTTCCTGTTGTTGCTGCTGCCCTGCATTTTGCTTCATTTCCTCAAGTTGGGCCATTGCGGCTTGCTGCAGCAAGTGCTGCTGCTCTCGCAGCAGCAGGTCCTGCTGCTCCCGCAGCAGCAGGTCCTGCTGCTGCGGCAACACTACGTACTGCTGCTGCTGCTGCTGCTGCTGCTGCTGCTGCTGCTGTATTTGCTGCCCCGCCAGATCCGGCTGCATCCGCCGCAGCGCCCCATTGCAAGTTACGCTGGAAAAAAACTCGCTGCCTGTAGCCACATCTGGCTGCTGCTGCTGCTGCTGCTGCTGCTGCTGTTGCTGCTGTGACAAGTTAGTTGCTGCGGCACTGGGAGGTGCCTGTTGTTGCTGCTGCGGCGCTGCAGGAACAGCAGCATCAAGTGCTGCTGCTGCTGCTAAGTGGGGGGCAGCAGGAGCCTGCTGCAGCGTGTCTGCTGCTGCATGCATTTGCTGATGCGCCGCAGCAGTGGCCCTTCGGATGTCGCCGTTTCCTGTGCAGCTGCTGCTGCTGCTGCTGCTGCTTGCTTCCGGGGTCAGCAGCTGCTGCTGCGTGTGCTCTGCTGCTTTCAACGGTGCGGGACTCGCTGCAGCGCCCCCAGCAGCAGCAGCAGCAGCAGCAAGAGATTCTGTCAGCTCTCGGATTCGCAGCTGCAGCGCAGCGAACTCCTGGTCAATTGTTTGCTGCTGCTGCTGCTCCTCCGCCATTTGCCGCTGCAGTGCTGCTGTTTGCGCCTGCAGCTCCACTGGGCTGAGGTGTATCTGCTGCTGCAGCGCCGCAAGCTGCTTCTGCGTCAGCAGCATTCTCCTGCGCACGTTTTCCCGCTGCTGCTGCAGCAGCAGCTGCTGCTGCTCGTAGTTTTGCAGCCGCAGCCGGTGCCCCTCTAATGCTGCTGCAGCTGCGTCGCCGTCGGCAGCAGCAGGACTTGCTGCTGCGGCTGCTGCTGCTGCTGCGCTCGCACGCTGGTGACGCGCGCTGCTGTGCTGCTGCTGCTGCTGCTGCTGCTGCGAGTGGCGAACTCTGCTGCGGCTGTTGCCTTCGGTTCGTTTCTCAGACCTCCTGGAGCGGGAGCCCGTGCTTGCTGCTGCTGGCGACTGCAGCAGCACCTGCTGCTGCTGCTGCTCCTCCTCCTCCTGCTGCAGCGCCGCCTCCTGCTGCTCTGCGTCCATCTCCGACACCTGCAGCAAGCAGCAGCAGCAAACAGCAGCAGCAAACGCATGCATCCTCCTGGCTGCCGCCACAGGCTAGCTAGCTGGCTAGCTGGAAAGACGCACGAAAGAGCTGTTTAAAAGGCTCTACAGCTAGCTGCCTCAAGGGCAGCTGCAGGCAGCCAGCTAGCTACTAGCTCGTTTCTAGCTAGCTAGCTAGCTAGCTAGCTAGCTAGCTAGCTGGCTATCTACAGAAATGTTCTAAGGCTAAGAGTGGCTCTTTAGTTATCTGCTCCTCGGAGCAGCTGCGCCTAGCTAGTCAGCTAGCTAGCCTGCCAGCTAGCCCGATAGCTAACCGGCTAGCTAGCCACGTAGCCAGCTAGCTAGCTAGCTAGCTGGCTAGCTAGCCAAGTAGCCACTTGCCTTCCTCTCCAGTCGCGCCCGCCACCGCTCTTCCCGCGTTGCTGCTGTGTTGATCGGTTTGCTGCTGCTCTCGTCGAGCTCGCCCTCAACTTCCAGGTAGTTCACTGGCTTCCGCTCCCGACGCCCTGCAGCAGCAGCAGCAGCAGCAGCAGCAGCAGCAGCAGCAGCCAGTGATGCCCAGGCGGGGGAACGCGGACAGGACAGCGCAGCAGCAGCAGCCTCAGCAGCAGCGGGACGCGCACCGCAGGAGCAGCAGCAGAAGCAACAGCAGCACCAAGAACCACAGCAGCAGCAGCAGCAGCAGCAGCAGCAGCGGCAGCAGCAGCAAGACAAACCCGTGACGACGCCCCACTGGGCCGTCTCCAGCTGCCTCTCCACGGCCTTCCGGCGCCTCTCTTCTCTGCTCCGCTGCCGCTGCTGCTGCAGCAGCAGCTGGTGCTGCTGCAGCAGCTGCTGCGCCAAGTCCGCCATCCCTTCCTCCTGAGGAGGCAGCAAGCAGCAAAACGCAACGGCCTCAACTGCAG